ATCTCAGCATGCTACTGGCTAAATATCATCACCCTGAGCATTTTGGTTATTCAGAAGAAGTTGTTTAAAGGTTTTTTAATACAATTGACCCCTGTGACCTTGAATATAATTGAAGGTCATTCATTTGAACAAACTTGGTAGCCCTTCATCCAAGCATGCTACTGGCCAAATATCATCTCCCTGGGCATTTTGGTTATTGAGAAGAAGATGTTTAAAGTTTTTGACATATTTGACCCCTGTGACCTTGAAAAAAGGTGAAGGTCATTAATTTTAACAAAATTTGTAGCCCTTCATCCAAGTTTGCTTCTGGCCAAATATTGACACCCTAGGCCTTTTGGTTATTAAGAAGAAGTCGTTCAAAGTAAAATATTGACGCCGGACGGACGCCGGACGCCGCGCTACGGCATAAGCTCACTTGGCACTTCGTGCCAGGTGAACTAATAATGATGGCTTGCCTTAAATTTGGAGAATGGTATATATTTCATTATAAGGACGTTTATAAATTATAACCAATGAATTTGTATGTAAACCTATTTTTCTTAGAAGTACTCTAAACCTATGAAGGTGAATACAACATGACCTACATGTATGTAGGGATTATATATATATATATATATATCATATCTAAAGAAGTAGTCTGCAGATTTTTAAACAAACTGCGAACATGACCCATATTTCTTTATTAATACTGAAAAGTTATGTACTAGCCCAGTGATTATTGTAGAAGTTTTTTCAAGCGATTATTCCTAAGCAGCTTTTTCAAAACTTTGATAAGTCTCATTAATTACAAAGATATTCATAAATTATAATGGGTTCAACTTCTCATCAAAAAGTTGGGTAGTCCTACAAACAAGCACGAGTCCAAGATTCAAATATCCGAGTCCCAAAAATCACTGCTAGACTAAATGTATACGTAATGACCATACCCTGAGGATTCCTCCAGTTTGGGTGGTAGCTGCATTATGACAGCATTCTGTAGGGCGTGCGTGAGATTCTCCAGGTCCCCCATGTACATACATTCCGTGTTGCTGTTCTGGGGTGCATGGTTCTCCTGCCCCTCCAAGTTGGAAGCCACATCTCTCATGAAACTCTGGGAGACATTTTCCTCCTCGTCCGAGGATCCCGACGATAACCTGTTTTCCCTGTCCATGGCGGCTTTGTAGAAAACCTTTTCCCGACGATTGCTGGCGGAATTCTGAAAGTTTGCACCGGGTACCTTATCCTGTTTGCATAAATCTGGGTTACAGTAGGTGTGAAAATTTTCATTATCAACGTGAAGATGTGGATCATACCTCTCCATATTGTTGTCGAAGTCGTCAAAATCAGTGCAGCATCTATCGTAGTTGAGATTATTAGTGAGGGAAGCTGCCCCCTCTGCCAGCATTTCCTCACAGCTGTTAGCCAGAGACGCCTGATGAACACTATCACAGTTGTTGGGATAGCAACGTCCATCAGACAAAAATGGGGTTAGAATCTCGGCATCTCTGACAAAGGAAAAGGACTGGTGAAGTCCTGCAGATCCCGGAAGATCAGAGTCCACAAATTCTAGAAAGTCGGTCTCCGGCGAGTACACAACGGATGAGTCGGACTCTATTTGACCTCCAACCTCACTTCCACTCTCACTTTTACCTGTACAACTGTCCAACCTGGACAATGGCTTGGTCTTACAGTCGTGATCACTGTCTTTTGAACAGACATGATTGGACAATCTATCACAGAGCTTTAAATCACTTGGAGAATCATCTAAAAACAGAACTCTACTTTCACTTTCATCTTCCCTGTGTCCATTCGCTTTTCCTTCGTGAAATGGTAAAGGCTCATCTTTGGGGACAGGCAATTCATTTCTATCTTCCTCTCGCTCTGAAAAATCAGGAATACGAGGTTCTGCATTTACCCCATACCCCTCATCCTCATCAGACGAGGTAGAGGAGGAACTTGTGGAACTACAGGCGAACAGTAGTCGACTGGCTTGAGATGGAAAATCGGTGTCAATGTAGTCACCGATCTCGTCTAAACTGTCATTGCTAGCAGGGCGTGGAAGCTGTTGAATTTGTGCATTTGGTAAGAACGGCATAAAAGGTGATCTCATTTCGGATTCAGGTTTTGGCATATTTTCTTCACACGAGATGTTGTTCATCTCTACAACTTGTGAAGCGAATTGACCGTGACTAGTTTGGGACTGGGAATATCTACACATAGCATTACCACATGAACAATAGTCAAGATTATCACAGAGAAAATCATCAGGGTTAAAATTAGAGTCCGACCCACTTGACAGGGAAGATCCTCCACTGTCCTCTGGCACCGCAAGTGGGGCTAGGATACAATCACTCTTTACCATCAATACAGGATCAAAGGGAGGGCACTGCCCACTTCCTGTGGATGAGGTCTTCGACTCGTTGCTGTCTGTACTTTCACTACTCGGCACAGTTCCATTGACGATGCACTCAGGTTTGGCGATGCCATCTTTGTTGCATCTTGAACTGCTCTTAGACGAGAATGGCCTGGTCCATTCCTGTGCCGAGTCTGTTGTTTCGCAGACTAAATGTAAATTCCAGTTAGTTCCCCCACTGGATGACTTCGGTGCCTGTGATTTGGTACTTGTTTTTGAGTCTTCTGCTGGCACTGGAACAATATCATCCAGATCTTCCTCGGAACTAGAATACATTTCTGGGTATAAATATGCCTCCCCTCGACTTTGGTCTCGGATATTGTTTTGTTTTTTGTTTCTCTCTTTTTTGTCCTTTCTCTGTTTGACCAATCGACTCCAGGAGATAGTTTTCGGCCTAACTGCTTGGCAGCCCTTTGACCCCTGATCCTCCATTCCCCCATTTCCAATGACAAATCCGTTCAGTGTTTTAATATCATCTGAACTTCCGATAGTACATCCAGTTCCATTGCTGTTCCCCATGGCTTCCTCGGCCATGGAATCTACTTCCCCATTGCAGATTGCTTTTATTTTTTCATTTCCAGAATCTAAACTCTGATTTCCATTTGATCTAAGGCTTGGAATATCAAAATCTGAGTACAAGTGATCATTATGACACGATGTTGCTATGGCAGGTGGAATTGAAGTCGCGGGACTATCGTCGCTTTTTGTTGGAGTGTGGTTTAGTTGCCTGTTGTTGTTATCCGGTTGTTTGGTTGTAGTACCATCTGTACCTACATCAGTGCCTTCAACGGTCATTGTTTTACTTCTTGCACCATTGCTTTGCTGCAGCTGTACCCTCAAGCCGACCACAGGCACAGATACTGAAACACTGTTCTTGACCTCTTCAGATTCAATGGCTATTACATGGCTGGTCTCTCCAGTCGCCATCTAGTCTGTAGCTGGAATGGAAAAATAAATGAATACCAGTAAATAGACATTCCAGCAAATTTTTGAATACTGTATTTTTTCTATCTGAATTTTACAGCCACCTTTTACAGTTACTTGTATTGAAATTGTGAATTATTCCTTGTTTTTCTTCATTTTGGAAAAATAAAACTTTTTTTTTGGCAAAGGAAGCAGTCTGTATTCGTCTGTTTTTATTCACCTTACCAGTACTATAGGGGGAATGTGTGAATGGGTTGACGAGGGCTCGCTAGCTGGTAGATTTTAGATTCTTGGATTAATGTTTTTTCATGTAGGACTTGAGCATATATTTAAAGAGCAACTGTATGTAAGAACAGTAGCTAGTGGGTCTTTTAAGAAAGACTTGGTTGTTTCAGTACCAAGATATTTTTGAGAATTTTTAGATCTTGGACTTTTAATGTTTAAACTTTGTAATGTGTTTTTGGGTTCCGTGAGAGTGCAATACTGATTTAATTGGTATGTTAAGATTTTTCACTTTTACAAAAACGTGCTGCTGAATCATCAAATTCTTTGATACCAAAATGGCTAGAATTCAGTAGGAATGGGTACGAATATGATTGATACAATTCATTCAACCTAACTTGGCAGAACTACTGTAGTTGAGCAACCAGTTAAGTGTGCAGGATCAAACAAACCATTATTTGGTAAATAGTCTGGAGTATGATATGTAACATTCATGTTTATTTACTGTTTTAGTACAAGTCTCATATAATTTTCATTCGTTCAAAACCTACTCCATAGAATCGAGGCGAATTAAAAACCTTTACTTGTTAGTAAATATACACACAAAAAATATAATATATCAGTGACGTTAAATCACACATTTTTCAGCAGATATGGAATAACTTATCCGACTAAATTAATACGTCTCGTTTCTGACATTTTCAATTACGCACACATCGATATCAATACGACTAATACTGGCATAAATGAATCAGTAGTTACTGTTATCCAATATAATACTGTTCAATAAAATGTCACGTCGACGATAATTTCTTTTCCGTTATTAGGAGTATTGTAAACAGTCGGTATCAATCATGGTTGTTAATTTAGCCTTGTTAAAATTTACGAAATATTAGAAAAAATGGCAAACATCAGAAACGGTTTTCCGCATAATATGACAATTTTGATTCCCATAGACACTCAAACACCATATTAAAATCAATTAAAAACTTACCTTTATAATGTATTATGTCTACATAGAAGATGAATAGGGCAAATTTAGAGTTTTTGGTGTCATTCCCAAGGTCCAAACTTTCTTCCGCCATATTGCTTGATGGGTTTTAGTTCGGATTCCTCTTACTTTGGCTACTATGTCAATCAAAACCCTAGATGAGTTCCGAAATAACAAATTTCAGGAATCTTTACAATCAGCCAATCAAAAATTTCCTTACATCAGAGTACGCAAAGGTGATTAATTGAAAATGGCTGCCATTAGTAAGTTGTTGAAGAAAAGGAGGATGGTATTTCGGGTTATTTTTCTGATGTTAGCAAAATCACACGTATACCAATGGCATTTTATTGACGGTTGCTTTTATTACAATATACGATTACGTGAAATATTTCAATATGATTAAGTAAACCTTGTTATTGATTAATAAACAGTGGTCGTCGGTGATACAAAATTGAAAATACACACAAAAAAATGGTTACTCAATGTTTGTGTGTTTTAAAATTATTAAGGTCAAATAAAAATTAAATGTAGACCGTCCTGGATTCTGTTCATTTGGGTACTCGTGTATTTTCGGTATTCATTGTCAGAAATGTTATGTTGAGAGTTCGAAATCCCTACCTACCCAGTATTTGGCAGTAATATTTTGCCTTAAAATTTGATCCAAAACATCCTATTTCTTTTCCTGGAAAGTTAGAAATGACCGAGAATAAATGTTCCATATTGTACGTGTATGATCAAATGATAATGTTTTATCAATTAATTGTCTTTAGGTAGTTTACAAAGTGGTTTTAAGCAACAAAATAATTGCTACTAACATACTAATAATCTTAAAGAGAACATTATTTTTGCCTATAATGTATCACAAAATATTGTAATAGAGAAAGAATGTTTTGTGATGATATGTATCCCCAAATATTGTAGGAAGAAAAAGGTGCTTAATTCAGTCCAATTCCACTTGTTTATTGGGTTTAACCAATTTAAAAAGGAGCTATTGTCAGAATGATATAATCTCATATGGATTGATCACACAAGTTGTATTTAAAATTTCATTAAAGCAACAGATTATGAAATTTGCACCACTAATAAAAGCCTGTTCATTTGGTTATTGGCCATTTATGTCTGTATTTTAATTTGTAGTCATTTGCAAAGTTAAAACACCTAGCACTAGATGCATCAAAATAAGCTTTTGAAAAATACTAGTACTACTGCCTACCGAGAAATTTTCGATCAGACAAATATTCACCCATTACTTGTAAAATCTGTATTCGCCCAGGGTGAATTTTCCATTCACAAGTAATTGCTATATAGGGTAAACTGTCTACTAACTAGTATTAATATTGACTGTCATGATATATTTGTATTATTGTAGAGGGTGAAAAAGGTGAAAATTAGCTGCATGTACATACTTCATGATATTGCAATATATTGTGACGGCCCTACTCAAAAGGCTATATATATATTTACATAATCTTTAATAAATGTAAATCTTGAAGAAATTTTGAAAAAAGATCTATTAGAGGAGTCTTTCAAGAGACCACACATATACATCATTTCATGTGAAAGAAACATGGTCTTTAATTCTGTAATACATGGATAGTGTTTGACTGATCAGACGTGCACAACGTACGTATTGGAATTAATTTAGTACACAGACGAAAAAGGTTGACATTAAACAATAAACACATATAATTTTAACCGTTTCACAAATCTGACATGAATTTATTTTGCATATTTTTCAGCCTCATCCATACATGAAGCGAAATGGAAATGCCATCGCCCTCTTCGATGAAGCCATCTTTCAAACATGACATTTCCATCATTAAATTATTGCACAAAAAAATTGTGGTTAAATTAAATTCAGAAATGTAGCATTAATTGTGTCGTCATCATCTCATAGAAATGTATGCCCAGATATTTGGAAAGTCGTTCCGACGGACCGTGATGTTATTGACATTACTTCTGCTGTTCTTACCTGTACCTGGAAGTCAGCTGTCGGATAATGGGAAATGTAACGAAACCTCTCCATTGGAAAATGTCAAGATCGAATATGGAAGCAAAGTTATTGAACATGGTAAGTATATCTAACAGGTGTATTCGATTCTATTCATATGTAATATGAATTGATTCAATAAAGGGGAGAAGAGCCAACGTCGGTCCAATGTAGGTAGGGTTCCTAACCCTTTCACCCCTAAGCAACTTTAGTAGACTCTCTCATGCATTGATCTGGATGAGTCCATTATGGACCACAGTGGTGAAAAGGTTAAGTACGTAGTGTGCTTGCTGGAAAATGGATACCGATCAGTATGCAGGGTGTCCACTCAATGGTAAAAATCAAACAGAGTAGGTGGGAGTGTTCTCAATATCAATCAGTAAAATTAATTTCAGAATTGCATGCATTTCATCTTTTTCTATCACTGAAAAGAAATGTTATTATCAAAATAAAATGCTATACAATTAAGAAGATAAACATAAAAAGAACATAAAAATTAATTCTGCATGGAATACAAATACTTAATATTTGTTTCATTTCAAGGTTTGTTTCAAATCCAGGAAAACTATGGTAACAGGTTTGTACAGAAATTGCGACAAGTATGCGTATCGTATCATGGGTCGTGTATTGTGATATGTAGCGTATCGTCACAATCCTTACACACAGCACTAGTATGTATACATGTATATCTTTAAAGGCTTACTATATGATTATTCGTTTTGTTTTTAGAATACATTGTGTCATTTAATGGATATTACAAAGCACAAACAAGGAAACGTTACCTGACAGCGGCCCTCCATAACTCGGACGTAGTGTCCTGGAAAATCTTGCCGAGACACAACCCAGCCAATGATTATCCCAGTGACTTTGAAGTGGTGAAGGTCAGTATTACGTGTTTGGAGAAGTAAAATTTTAAGAGCTGTGTAAGGTGTGGTGGACAGTTAAAAGTTATTGACATGCACAATCATTCATAAGGCTATGAATGCAGTTGGATCATTTTCATTTTGACTCTTCTTCCCCTGTCTTAGAAAACATGCACTTGGTGTCAGAAGCAAACATCTAGAAGATGCTAGGCTGTTCCAGGATGGTTGGCACTTGTCATAATGATACAGAAACTTTGATGCCACATTATATCAGAATATTCATATGAAGACCAATTATAACTTTGAATTTGAAGCATACTGTAAATTAGCCCAAGTTCCTCTGGCCCTGATGCCAGACTTAAAAATTTTGACAGATAAATATCTGCCCACACCAGGCATCTAATTTCTGTCAAAATGTCTTAAGTCTGGTGCCAGGGCCAGCGGAACCTCAGGCTAACTGTAAATATACATTTTGCACCAAGTCTTTTATAACATTCATGCCAGTATGAACGTAAATATACATTGCAAATACAGCATAAATATACATATTGCACAGTCTTTTATAACATTCATGCTAGTATGAATGCAAATCTGTTACATCCATATTTAAAATGAAGTCACAAGGCAATATGGATAGTATCAATCTGTATTTATAGATCAATTTAATTATACAGGCGTAAATGTGGAAAAAAACAACCTGTTCAATCCTAATTGAATACACAAAAGACACAAATATTGAATGGAGTGGTTAAGTGTACTTACCCTGTCTCTTGAATATTGAATTATTTATAAAAAAAAAAGAACTCTTATAGATCTAAATTAGGGGATATAAGCAAATGTAGCAAATATAGCAGAAAAATTCTTCATAAAAAGTTAGGGGCTTGTAGCCAGTCTAGGTTAAGTACAGAAAGGCAAGGATGTGAAATTGTATGTATGTAAACTATAAGTAATCTCCAGCATACCTTGTGTGTTGAAGACAGATGCTCTGACGCATATAAAAAACTGTAATACCCTGTATTATGTTACAGTTGAGTGATGGAGGCAGGGCGGGGGTGGAGGGTCTACAGGACCACCCACTGGTTCGACGGGTCACGCCCCACAAACAGGTGACCAGGACCCTCAAGTTTGTACCAGGTATAAAATACAGAAAATCTTATGTTTATATAAATGGACAAACTTATAAAATTGCAATTTTTTTGTTGATTTTGTTCTTTTTCCAATTTATATATATACGGTATAAGGGCTGAGGACATTTTTAGAAATCATGAAAATTGATGAAAATTAAAAAAATTGCCATTTAGTTAATACAGAAATTTGAGTACCTAGGTATTTGATTTAAAAAAAGCTATAATGTCCATTTGTAAAGTTGTATTCTGCCACTTCTGTAACTTTCTTCAGACATGGGTCACTCCAAGGATCAGGCGAACCGAGATTTTGACAAGGTGGAGGTCAATGTGGAAGAAAAGGGGGAGGACAAACAGTGTAACTGTACTGGCAAGGATGAACCCTGCCAAGCCTCGTGTGACCAGAAAAAAACCGGGAATCGCCGCAGTCTATCTCTGGTATAGAGTCATGTTGCATATACCATATTCATGTGACAAAAACATGAAAATGGGAAATTATCAGAACATGTGTCATGCTTCACATTTAGTCATGTGACAAAGACATTAAAATGGGAAATTATCAGAACATGTGTCATGCTTCACATTTAGTCATGTGACAAGGACATTAAAAAGGGAAATTATCATAGTCTGTGTCTGGTATAGAGTCATGTTTCACATTTGTTTGTGTGTCAAGAACATTAGAATTGGAAATTATCACAGCCTGTGTTGTGAATAGAGTCATATTTCTCATTTTAAAATTCATTTGACAACGACAAGAAAATGGGAAATTATCGGAGCCTGTGTCTGGTCTAGAGTCATGTTTTACATTTAGTCATGGGACAAGAACATTAAAATGGGAAATTATCACAGCTTGTGTGTCAGGAATGTTGAAATCGGAAATTATCACAGTCTGTGTCTTGTATATAGAGTCATGTTTCACATTTATTTGCTTGTATGTCAAGAATGTTAAAATGGGAAATTATCACAGTCTGTATCTGGTGTAGAGTCATGTTTCACATTTATTTGATAATATGGCAGGGGTGGATTGGACGGGTTCCAAAATAATTGTTTAAATTTGTAAAGTTGGTTTCAAAAACTAAAAAAAAGTCGTTTTTGCTTCTGCATCAATCCCTGCACCTCTCATAAAAAGTACAAATTTATAATTGCTTTGATTGAAATACTGTTTGTCCAAGGATAATGTAGACAACTGTGAGATACACATATTTTTATGCGTCATCGCCTGTCCATAAGTCACATAGTATATTAACCCTTTCACCACTGTAGACCATAATGGACTCTTCCAAATTAATGCATGGTAGAGTTCACTCAAGTTACATAGGGGTGAAAGGGTTAAACATGATTGTTATTGGTTTAGTGATGTTATATATTGGGGTCATCTCTTCATTTTGCTATATATAAGTAGCAAAAAGAGCTTTGAAATGTAAACATCTTCTACTTACTACTTTTAACTCTACCATTATACTATATTTTAAATGCACCAGAATGCACAAGATAAAAGCACATTTGTGTGAGTGCATAATGGGTTTGGTTCCTGCAGCACTAAAACACCCCAAGCTTTCTTTTGGGCATATTGATTTTGGTGAAACCATATTTTGAGCCAGAGTGTCAACCCTGTCTTGTACTTTTAGAGTAGCAAATTAAATAAGTCTGAAGAATTCAGAATTGAAATGGTGAAAAGTAAGGATTTTCTGGAAATAAAATGATTAACACTGTTACAGTAGAATTTTATATACCGTATCTATCCTCCAATAAGCCCAGGGGGCTAACACATAATCTCTTGACTAAAAGCCGGGGGTGGGGGGCTTATTACAGGACAATGAAATATTATTTGCTGGTAATTCTTATGAACTGCAATATTTAGAACTGGGCTTATTGCAGATAAATACGGTATATAGTTTTGAAACTCAGATTATAAGAATTGACAGGGTATATTTTCTGTTAAGATGAGGATATACTTTAAAACACAGTTTTATCTAGTCTATTTATCCTACTCCAGTATCAAAGATACATAATATAGTTGTTGAATGTGATTGTCGTCTGTTTACAGAGCGCAACATACTGGCACTCACCGGTCCGCTACAGAAACAGACGCCTCCTCAGAGCTGTCCCAAAGCAGGTAGGTCTGCACACGTACAGTGTATAAATACACATTATATTTACCATGTCTTGAAATAGAGTGGACACCCAGTATTGAAATACATTATATACTTATATTAGGAGGCATGGTAGTCTAGTGGTAGCACGCCGGGCTCGTGACCAAAGGGTTGCGGGTCACGGCATGGCACTGTGTTGTATCTTTGAGCAAGATAATTTACTCCCCTTGTTTCAGTTTACTCTGATGTTAATGAGTATGTGGTTGGGCAGTGCTAGAATTGTTGAATGCTAGCTGTTAGCGCCAAAATGGCAGCACCGGCTGTATGCTCCCCAGCGAGTTGAGAAAGATGTTGGCTGGTTGCAAAGGCCCTATAACCATGGATAATAATTTGTGAACTGCTTTGAGACGACCTACGAACTAGGCTGTGATAAAGCGGTATATAAGAACCTCAAATTATTATTATTATTATTATATACTATGCTATTTTTTTCAGATTGTTAGTGCTCTCCAGGCTGAAATTCTGTGGAACATGGGGTACACAGGTACAGTATGAAATCTTCAATAATCTTCAATAATCTTTTATGATGACAAACCTATGGTCAGTCTATGTTTAAGGTTAGACAAAACAAATTTTAAGTTAGGTCCTGATATCCTAATATTAGAAAGACTCATCCATCTGCAGAAAATTGTAGTTTACCAGTATTTCTGGTCACCTCAGTGTATTACAGACAAGCAGACTGTTCTGGTAATCTAACTCTGGATATGAAAATTCTTGTTTTTAAATCTTCTACATTTTAGTTTATATCAGTTAGGCTCTGGCCTCAATTACAGGTGCTTTAATCAATTTCCCCATCTGCCTTCAAAATTGTTCAAATATAAAAAAAAAAATGAATTGAACAAGGCCATTGTTTGAATGAAATCAGTTACCAAGTAAAAAATTGATGCACAAGATTGCAGGAAACATGTGCATTCTTTTGCACTTTCAGAATGTTTATCTAATCAGAATTATAATATTAAAATGATATTTTCAATAGGGAACTCATTTCTATTTAATTTGATACATGCTAAGTTTTAAAAACATTTGTGCCATATTTATGTTTCACAGGAACGTTATTTCCTTACCTACATGTGCAAGATTACTAGCCAGGAATGTATGTAGTATGGTGTGGTGAAGTTATGGTGGGAACATCATTACTGGTTACAGAATGTTACTATGGGAACAGTGTTACTGTGTTATAACATTGTTACTATGCTACTGGTACCTTTATTCCGTCTTTGCATATTGCAGAGTTATCTTCTCTTGTGAGCAGGTATTGATTGTTACGTCATTAGTTTGTGTGAGAAAATTTACGTCGTTTACTAAAAAGAAGATGACGTTACTCGCACAAACAAATGACGTAACAATCAATATCTGCTCACAAGAGCAGATAACTCTGCAATACGAAAAGACGGAATAGGGTAGTAATGATGCCTGTTTTCTGTTCCAGGTACGGGGGTGAGGGTGGCTGTGTTCGATACAGGACTCGCAGAGGATCACCCCCACTTCAAAAAAGGCAGGATTAAAGACAGATCTAACTGGACTAATGAGAAAACACTGGATGATGGTAATGGTTTTGTCTCGTAAAAAAATTATTTAAGATTTTCAAAGATTGTTCTGCAAACTCAATCAGCAATAAGAATATGTATAAATTAATCTTAAATAATTTAAGGATCCCTGTCCCACTGCAGTGCTGTTTTTCCTATATACAGTAACCTCCCCGTTTGGATATAACTTAGCACACATGGCTTGTACACTTCTGTTGTCCAGATAGCTCAATCGGTTTTAGAGATGGTATAACAATCTGAAGTCCAGGGTTTGAATCCTGGTCTGGCCCAGTAGACTATTTTACAATCTGAACACTTTTGTTGATTATATTTTGTTTATTGCATCTCCCTTATTTTGTTATAACAGTCCCCCAAGGTATACTTTTCTTTTCAAAAATGGTTTATCAAAGCTATTCTGTCTTTTCGTATTGCAGAGTTATCTGCTCTTCATAGATTTGTTTGTGAGAGTAACGTCATCATAGCTTCATCTTTTGGCAGTGGTACGGGGATCCTTAAATGGATGTTGAAGTATTAATTTCAAGGATACATTAATTAATGCATTGAAAAGTTATAGAAAACATAAAATCAACGGCAGGTTTTCTCTATTGAACTTGTTATAGGTCTTGGACATGGTACGTTTGTGGCAGGAGTGATAGCCAGCTCCAGGGAATGCCTCGGGTTTGCTCCGGATTCTGAGATCTACGTCTTCAGAGTATTCACAAACAACCAGGTTGGGATAAATTCTGAAATATCCGCTTTGTGGTCATATAGCATGTTGTTTTTACTATCTGACAGCAGAAAATATTGTTTGAATGTGAAGTTTGAATGACTTTTCAAACCGTCTTTGAAATTACTGTTTGGATTTAATTTTCTTAACATCAGACGATGGAGAATTGATATGAAACTCAAATTTTGCAGCGTCAAAGTTTTAAAAGTGTGGTACTTAAAACAAATTATTGTTTGTTTTTTGCACTGCATTGCTCAAAACTTAAATTTGTGTAGTTTAGTTTTCTCATTAGCAATATAGCTCACAAAATCATTGGATACTGTACAGATCATGATAGAGATGTAGAATTCCACTAGCCTGGTGCCTGGTCCTAGCAGAACTTCTGTCAGGACTAGCTACTGTTTTAGGATATTTACAAGGATGTGCAATGTGGCATATAATACATGTTCACAATAAAGCGTAAATAGCGCACAATATACAATATTCACGCATTTTACAATGAGAAATGCAGGTTTATATGCCATATCTCCTATACCAGTTGTCGAATGAATTTTAAATTTCATTTTTTCATCCTTAACTTATCCCAGATTACAAAATTTAATATAACAACTTATTCAAAATCCCTGATGAAGCCGGAAATTACCATTAACACCCCTTGTCCATTGAAATTTCAAATTTTCTTCCATCATTTATCCCAGACTACGAATATGACAACTTCTTCTAAATCCCTGATGAGGCCGGAAATTACCCTTAACGTCTCTAGTCCTTTATGTGAATGATTTTGGTCTTTATTGGCCCACAAGTCGATCAAAATATTGTAGTGTGTTGTATTGGTTCATGTTACATATTACATGTTCTGCGATTGTAACTGTTTACAGGTATCCTATACATCCTGGTTCCTGGATGCGTTCAACTACGCCATTCTGAAGAAAATCAACGTCCTCAACCTCAGTATCGGGGGCCCTGACTTCATGGACCATCCTTTTGTGGATAAGGTAGGTTATGTATGTGGGCGGAGAGGTTGCTTGAACAGACAGGTAGATTGTATTGACAGACGAGTAGGTTTTTATCTGGAAAACATTTTTTATATCCAGACAAAATTTCTTTTATATACCCGGTACAGACAAATTTATCAGTACACATTCCTTATTTCTTCAAAAATGGACCCCTACAGGTTGGGGATTGAGAAAAGAATACATCTGCTGTTACCCACTGCATGAATGTAAGAGGCGATAATGTGGGGGAACCCCCTGCAGAATTTGTGATTTGTATTTGTGCCCTCTACCTAGGGACATAAAAGTGACCAAAATAAATCTGCTGCACCCATTGCAACATTTGGATTTTATACTTCTCTGTAATTCTAGCTACCTTTTATTTCCTAGTGCCTTGCTTGACAATACCTTTATATCACTTTTGGCTTTAAACATTGAGCGTTTATCCAGGTGATGAAGGCAATGGGTCCTGTCCCCATGCCGGGACATAACTAAGTTCTTAAAAATGATGGTTAATATTCCCCCTGCTTGACATTCAGCATTAAGGGTAAGGACAACAACTGGGTCACCCATTGTCAGTACATTGGTATAATGTGACTGGACGGAAAATTTGAAGAAATATGTTTAACAGACAGCTGTTGTTTGTCACAATCAAACTCTCAGTTTCCCATTGTAATGCCATTGAGTCCTGATGTTTGTAATGAGGTGGGTCTAATGATTTCTGTACATGTTATCAGGTATGGGAGCTCACTGCCAACAAGGTGATCATGGTGTCGGCTATCGGTAATGATGGACCGTTATATGGGTAGGTATATATACAACCTCAATTAAGGCCTTACGAGAATTAGTATAGTAATTGTTTGGCTCAATAAGAAACCCATGCTCTTTTAATGTCAGAAATAATTATAACTTTTCTAGTTCAGAAAAAAATTTGATTTAAAATACGTTTTAGTTCTACAGGTCCCATGGGGCTTTTAGTTCCTATGAAGATTATATATCAAAAAGTATTATATTAGAATATTTGCCAATATATATACGATTTTACACAAGTTTTGATTTTATATGAGATTTATAAAACAAGTCTACAGAATTTTTCAATTTAGCTAGCCTCTGGCGAGCTAAAATGAAAAATTCGTGACGAGTTTCATAAAGTTCATAAGAAATGAAAATGACTATGTTAAAGATCACTTATACGTGTAAAACGGCAATTTTCATGCAACCTTGAAATCTAAAAAGCCGCCATTTTGACTCAAATGCCTAAGACTGTGACGTCATGAACTTGTCCAAGGTGGGACATCACAGTTGAAACAATTGAAACTTACAACCAATCACAGGGCTGATAGGTCGTATTACATGGGTTAATAGGCAAACAAATATGACATTGGTATTCACTGGATAACAGTACATTATGTAATAAATGTGTGATAAACAAGTCAACACCATTCTAACAGACATGTTTGTATTCGTGTGCACAGTACGCTAAACAACCCAGCGGATCAGATGGACGTGATCGGGGTGGGAGGTATCAACTTTGAGAACCAGATCGCCAGATTTTCATCTCGAGGAATGACCACATGGGTAAGAGACTATATGACGATCATTTCAATCATGAAGTAGAATTAATTAAAAGTCCTAAGTGATAACTTTCTTACATTTTACCCTTATATGGGACTTCACAATAAATTTGATCATACGTGTGATCAGATCTAGAGATAGTAAACTCATTTGTTCCTGTTTATACGCTAGATATTTTATAAACTCTAATACCTGTAACTGAGTGAGATCGGGTTACCTCAGTCGTGGGAGAAGATTCTGTAACGTAATCCTAACCGAGGCTTTAGCCAAAGTTGTGATGTTACAGAATCTTAGTCCGAGACGGAGGTAACCCAACCTGACTCAGTTACATGTAAAACAATTTTTTTTCTTGCACCTTTTAGTTAAAAAAGAAAAAAATCAATATCGCTAAAGTCTACAAGTATCACATCTGGGGCCTCAAATAAATATGGCCAATTCACTACTAAAGCTACGCTTCTGCATCAAAATAAAGTCCGTCCTTGCACAGAAAAAAACATATTTCACAGTGAAGATAGTATTTTTTCTACAACATCAGGAATCCAACATCATCAAAACAATACATATAACAACATATGTCAATTTCAAGCTTTTATTACATGAATTGATACATCCCTGTGTGAAAATTCCGTGCAATGTCACATAAAAATGCCAGACAGATCAGACAAGATAGAAAAATCTAGCATGGGGTATCACGTGGGATATCCCTGTCCGAGGTGCGAGACTATATTAACTAGATATAAGGTATCGACTGGCTACTGATGTGTGGAATACCAGAGATTGTATGCACTGTATGTAGATTCATTGTATTATCTGCTTGGATATAATGTACTTGACTGAGTCATGAGGGATTGATGGAAAGAACCACTGTTTTACTTGTCACACAACAGGAACTACCCCAGGGGTACGGACGCGTCAAACCAGACATTGTCACATACGGCTCTGCTGTCAGGGGATCAGCTCTCAAGTAAGTTACCCAGAAATGTGAATGTTGAACCACAGCGAATAATTTCCCTGTAATACATTATTATGTTATGGGTTACTCTTGCCGAATTAGAAATATAGTTTCTTAACTAGATAATTTTTGGGGCCTGTTCGTTTTTGATGAACAACCGGTTTGTTCGTTTTTGATTACGGTATAACAGTTTCGGTTATAAATCCTGGCGGACCTCCAAATGTTTATGCAGGCCATGTAAGGCTTTGTCAAGGCTCGCCTGAAAGGAGCATCAGATTACTAGGTCCGACCTTATTTAATAAACGAACACCTGTGGTGCAGCCGGTTCAATGGGTGGGTTAAACAAAAACGGCCTTGCTTTTTAATGAAGTTTAAGCCCTATTTACAGGAGTTCATGGGATATGATTATCATGCTTAATCTATTCTTGTTTTCAGGTGATTTAGTTATTTATAAAGCTCTCAGTGATTTTGTAATTCTAAACCTAACTTCTCTCCGGTTTGAAGGAGTGGCTGTCGATCGCTGTCTGGGACCAGTGTTGCCTCCCCTGTTGTGGTAGGGGCTATCACCCTACTGTACAGGTAAGCATACCTATCGTCTTATGTAGGTCTGGATTACAAACAGTTAATGTTATGAACTCGGGGATTGATGCAAGAATAGAAAGGTAGTACCCTTTTTAGCTCACCTGGTCCAAAGGACCAAGGTGAGCTTATGCCATACCGTGGCGTCCGTCGTCCGTCCGTCCGTCGTCCGTCGTCAGTCGTCCGTCCGTCAACAATTTCTTTAAACGACTTCTTCTTCCTAACCACTGATTGGAATTTTACTAAATTTGACTGGAAGCATCCTTAGGTGGTGGGGAATCAAAATTGTACAAATGGTGGGGCTGACCCCCCAGGGGGCTGAGGGGCGGGGCAAAAAGGGGGCAATTTGGCTATATTGCTTTAAGCGACTTCTTCTCTGGAACTAAGAGATGGATATCAACCATATTTGCCTGGAAGCATCCCTAGGTGGTGGAGATTCAAAATTGTACAAATGGTTGGGCTGACCCCCCAGGGGGCTGAGGGGCGGGGCCAAAAAGGGGGCAATTTGGCTAGATTGCTATAAACGACTTCTTCTGTAGAACTATGCACTGGATATCAATCATATTTAATCAAAAGCATTCATGGGA